CCTCCACCTCTTACACAAGCAGATTCATAGAAAATCCTAAATACCACACTGTCTCTAAAATGTCTTTAAATGAATTCAAGGAATTGCTTTTCCTCTTTCCCCCCTCCACCTCTTACACAAGCAGATTCATATCTCACCACTTTTGCTACTTCCCTTTTTTTGTATCCCAGGAGACCATCACAAACTTAGGAACAAAGAGTGAGAGCCCATAGCACAGGTTGGGAAAGCTCCTCATATAACTGAACAGTGAAGTAGGAAAAGAAGTATCTGAGGAAACCACACAGCTTCATAAGAGTATCATGAAGCCCTATGGCTGCAAGGCATCATGAGAACAATATAAAAACTCCATGGCAGACAGTAACACTGCCAATGTCACAGCTGGGGAATTGGCATTAGGACAGCCTAGGTCAGATGGGAGGGGGTTTTGAGCAAGTTGGTCTAGTGAAAGGTGTCCCTGCCCGTGCCAGGAGGGTTGGAATTAAATGATTTTTAAGGTTCCTTCCAACCCAAACCATTCTATGATTCTGTGGTCCCACTGCTACATCCCAGTCTTGCAGGGCCACTCATTCCTCAACCTCTGAAAGACTGGAAGGAAAGGGAAGAGAACTCATGTTCACTGACCTCCTTCTGACTTTCATCCAAAATGCAGTATAAGTACTGTTCTGACTTCAGCTCCACAACAAGCCTCACCAGAACTAGGCAGAAAAAACAGGATCAGTAATACACACACAAGAGCACTCACAATCCATCTTCCATGGGGCTTTAGCAGAGCAGTGAGCAAAGAGCTTAGAAATGAAATGAGCACAGATGTGCTGAGAGAGCAGGGTTACAGCAGCATTCCCAGCACTATTACTTCTGATAGCCCAGCTCAAGCTCTCTGAGGCATCATTCCAGCAGTCCTGCTTCAGCTGCACTACAAAACATGCATGGAAATGAGCTGCAGGCAACAAACTGAGCCTCAGGACAGCAAGTAAACACAAGGAATCAGGAAAGGAAGGGGGAAAAAAACCTAGCTTAAAAGCTTAAAAAATTATGGTAATTGAATAGACCAGGCTTCCTACTGTGTGAAAACTGGCCTTTAAAAATGTATCCTTCCAGAGAAAACATCAGAACTGAAACTGCTGAGGATCCTTAGATTCACACTCAGAGCTCCTCCTACAGCTGCTACTGTCCCTAATGTAAGTGAAGTCTGTCAGCCATTCCTCCCCACTGCAGATTTCCCACACACCTTACCAGAAAGCAAGGTGCCAGTCACCAGAGTGTTGCTGGTCACCTCCTCAGCCCTCAGCAAGTGCTGTTATTATTGAAAGAACTCTGCCAGCTCTGTACTAATAAGAGGAATCAGCAAGAAATTATGTTTTCCAGGCAGTGGCAGCACATCACCTGGGGTTTCCCTAACCAAACCACAAGAGAGTTGCCTGATGCTGGCAGGCTGCCTGTGCCTCCACACATATACCAACAGGCCAGTTGCAGCAAGCAAAGTTCCTCCTCCAGTACTTCTAGAACTGGCACCTGAATGTTCAGCCAATAAAATTTTGGCAAGAGCCCCATTACTGAGACACTGCACACATTTCTACACAGGGTTTGGTAAGGCTGTCTTGGATGTAGCTTGCTGTCATGGCATGACTCATTTGGAAAACCTACACTTTTGACTGGTATCCTAGGAAAGCATTCTAAAAAGAAATACCAGAGACTTTTGGGCTCACCATTTCTTGGTATATCCAAGGCAATGCTAGAGCTGCTTCAGCTGCAGAGATACACATCTCAGCAGAAGCATGTATGAGACAGGTGATTTACAGATGGTTTAATAGCCCTTTCTTGCCCCAAACTCTCAGAAATTTTATACACTTTCAAGACTTAGGCAACACTAATTTAAAATTGCTCTGTTAGAGAGCATCCATCTCTCAACAGACTGGTAACATACAGAAGGACTTCTCCACTTTTCAACCCCATTTCAAGCAAGTGTCTGGAAACAAAAATCCCTCTGGAAGAAGTTTGTAATAGTTCTTTCATGGCTGGTCATGAAATGCATCATTGCACTGCTGGTATCTCTAGACTCAGCAGAGGTGCCCAGGGTTAACTGGACTGCAGAGATTCCTTTGTCAGCCCTGCAGACATTTCCTTCAGTTTTCAAATAAGGGACTGCTCACAAAGAGGAATCTACAGCCTGTACAGAAAGCAGCAGATCCCACAGACTTCCATTTGCTTTGACAATTTGGTCAGGTCCAATTATGCCAAAGTTGAGGCACTGTTACCCATCTGGTATTAAACTCATGACACGCACAGAACCTGTGAGAGAAATGCTAAATATTTTTTAAAAATGCATGCACTCCCCTGCCCCCCAATATTGGAGCAAGCCACTCATTTTTGTTGCATGGATATTGATGGTCTTCCCCACTGAAGCTGTGTCACAGCTGAGCATGTCACTATAGGTGTCACACCAGACAGATTGTCCCCTTCACAAACTGCCAGTGACCGAGATGTGGCATTTGTCTCTCACCTTCAACTAACAGGTTCAGGGCACTGCTGTCTTCCACAGAATGCAACATCCCTACAAGACAAACCACAACAGGTCATGGAACTCATTCCTGCTTCTGATCACCAGTGCTGCAATTCCTTCTTGCTAAAAGGAGCTGATTTTTTTTTCAGAACTGTTGTGTTTTCCCGCTTCACCTAACACCAGCCTGATTCTGTCAGACAAGGGTGGATACTCTCCAGGAGTATGGCAAAAGGTGTCTCCATGAGCAGAACACAGGCACATGAGACACTCAGTTCTCTTGCAAATTTTTTGTGTGCTTTATAGTTGAAGTCAATGGCTCCACCTATGCCAGGGAATATGGAACTGCTGCCACCACCACATCTCACTGTGTGTATCCAGTATTACACATCTGAAACAACACCCCAGAATGACAGAAGTGGGTTTTGTGCTTTGTGTCCTCCATTCCTACCAGTTACTATGAACAGTCTTCTCCCTCCTCAGTACTGAAAACCCTGAAACCAAACCTGAACACCAGGTTTAAATCATCCAGAAACTATTCCAACATTAAACTCAACCTGAAGGCATCACTTCACAAGTTAATTTTACAATGAGAGCATAAGGCTGGACATGTCAAAATAAACCACTGTCTCACTCTACTACAGCCCAGCAGACAAGAAACTCCACCTCCCAGCCCCTTCCAACCTACAGCATCAGGGATATGGTTCAGACCCCACTTCTGCCACACTAAATCACTTGTTTCAATACATCCAGTCTAACTACCTCCCCTCTGGAGGCTCCATGATGTCTCAGAATTTTGACCAACTAAAGCAAAGTTATAACAGGTGAAGAAATTACTTATTTTACGCCTCATCTGCCCAATCCTTAGTAATTCTTTAGAAAATATTTGTATACAGCATTATTGAACATTACAGTATTAGCTGCATTAAATTCAGGCTTATCTGAAACACACCACCTCATACATAACACTCCACCTCTCTTCACTCTCTTTCTTCTGCCTGTGCTTATTCCAATATTCTTCTGCCTGTGCTTATTCCCTCCAAATGTATTTTTCTGAATTCACTATTAATACTTCCTTCACAGCACTGCTCAAACTTCTGGGGAGGTCCCCCTTACACTCTTGCACCAAATGATCCTGGGGTTTAATTGGCCACAATCACCAATTTTTCCACTACTCTGAAGGATTATGTGTGCACACACTATTAAAAAAATGGTGCAATTAAAAGAATAAAAACTGCATAAAGTTCTGTTTCTAATAAAGCTGCTTTCAAAATGTGCCCAACACAATTTATGGACAATCAACTGTTTGAACAATTCAGTGTGTCAAGGCAGGGATAGGGTCTTGTAGGGTCTTGTTCTTTTCCCCAAAGAACAAGAATTATCTGTGATGTGCAAATGCGATGGTGGAATTGAACGAATCCGGTATATCTGCTCTTGGAAGGCACTCTTATTTCTACCCTCCACCTTTCCCTTCCTGCCTTGCTGTTTCTTCATTTAGACCATTATTTCTTCTCCATCAAGATTTTAGATGTTTCAAAGACATTTCCCTGCTATGCAAACAGAAACCATTAAGAGAAGTTCAAGATCACAGAGACTTACTGGAAAGACACTTTCTGACATCCTGCTGAACACTATTTTGCTGAGGCTGACTCACCAGAAAGCAGCAGGTTTTAGTTGTACAGCAACAAAGATTTCTACAAATGTAAAGTGATGGTGTAAAAAATTCCTACTACATAGATCTGTGGTTTGCACATTTGATATTAAATCCTGCAACACCTTTTTAGGCTCACAGTTTGACTTCTGTATGAATCTTCATATAACTCCAGAGGCATGAGACCAGAATGGAGAATATTCAGGGAAGAGCAAAATGCCAGGCACTCCCTATTCTCCAGAAGGACTTTACAGATACGTCAAGATACTTTGAAAAATCACAAAAGCTTTATGAACACGCCAATCCTGCACCATGGGGAATGAGAAAATTAATTAACCTATTCTAAATCAGTGACAGGCAGTTTTCTGCAGGGAGTAATTACACAACAGAACGGTGAAGTTTGGAGGCAGGCACCTCAATGTTCATTTACTTTTTTTTTTTGGCTTCCAATGTGGGGAACTTCCCATGTATTCAACAAAAGGCAGCTGCCTCCTCCCTGCTGCTGCAGCAGGCCTCAGCAGAGCTCTTACCAAAGAGAGTTCCTATCAAATGCATGCACACCCTCTCGTCTGGCGCCAGCAGCTGGACGAGCGGCAGCGCCTGCCAGGCCAGGGCATCCTGCAGCCGGGACAGGACGTGCTTCTTGCGCACCAGCTGCGGACCAAACACAGCAGCCGTCAGGCCCCGCGCCCGAGCCCCGCGCTGCTCCCACCGCCCTGAGGGGAAAAGGCCACCGGGGCCCGGTGCGAGGGGACAGGGCTGGCCAAGGGCCACACCGGCCGGGCCCGGCCCGAACTGAGCGCCGGCAGCCCGGCCGGGGGGCGGGAAGGGGCGCGCTGAGGGGGCGCGGCGCCGCCCCGGGGCCGCCGCGGGGCCGCCTCCCTTCCGGCGGCCGCAGCAGCGCTCCCGCCTCTTCCCTCACAGCGCGCTCGGGCCCACAGCAGCCACCGCGCCGCGGCCATGGTGAGTGGCGTCGGGCCCGACCTCTTCTTCCTCCTCCTTCTTCTCCTCTTCCTCCTCATCCTGTTCTTCCTTCTCCTCTTCTACTCCTCTTCCTCCTGCCTACTCCTGCCAGCCTGGGGCAGAGGGAGGCCGCTCTCCGGCCGCGCGGCGGGCAGCACGTGGAGGCCGTGCGGGCGGGAGCGCGGCCGGCTGCGGGCAGGAGCCCCGGGGGGCTGGCGGTCCTGGGGACACCCGCTAAGGGGGGCTCTGTGTCTGGGCACTCTGTGTCTGGGGTCACCCCGGCCGTGCTGGGAGCCGGAGAGGCCGCGGTTCTGCCAGAGCCAGTCGCCAACAGCGCGTGTGACCTCGCTGCTGGGCCACCCCGCTGCCCGCGTTAACGTTTAGGAGCTGTTTGTGGTTTGCAGAAATAACCCTGATGCGTGCTCTTCTGGTGGTTTATTTAAAATTTTTGTTAGTCTGTTAATTGGCTCTATTAAGGTGCACTGAAGTGTTTCATTTTGTGTAGTCTTTGTGGTATAAAACGCCTGAAGACTGCCCCATGAGTGAACTGCTACTGGTTTGTAGGGTGTAGATTGTGAGTAAATACACTATTTACTTTGATGTAAAGCATATCCTTCTTACTTTTTCCCTCTACTTTGATACAAGAATCCTTACTCTTTTAGGAGCAAAATGCAATGGTATTTCTTCTATATGGGCAGAGCAGATTAGCCACGACTTCAGAAGTCAGTATATGTGGTGGACATGATGTCTGTGCAGTGCTGATCGGACCAAAGCCTCCTTTGCTCCTATTGTAATATTCTTTACTTTTTCCTTTAGAGTGAGGCAGAAGTGAATCCCAAAGCTTACCCGCTGGCTGATGCACAGCTCACCAAAACGCTGCTGGATCTCGTGCAGCAGTCCTGCAACTATAAGCAGCTACGCAAGGGAGCCAATGAAGGTGAGACTTGCATGTTGAAAAATGTGCTACAAGTCACAACAAGGATTTTGTGAGATGCTGGGGGTAGAGATTGTCTTTTCTCTGTAGCTGTGAATCAGTCATTTTATATAGATTTGGTTATTGCAGGTGTGCATCTCCTTTCTCCTCTCTCAAGCCTGCTTTAACAAGAGTCAGGGATAGAACTAAGCTGTAATCTTTTTGAGTTTTATAGGCAGTTCTGGTAGATTCCCAGACTGTATTCTTGGTGAATGGTTTGTAATCATGCATGCTTCAGTGGTGTGGCACTGGGGTTACCAGATGCTTAACCAGTTCAGAACCATAAGAGATTTGGGTTTGAAGGTGTCTCTAGTGCAACCTGCTCACAACCCCCCTTCACAGTTGCCTGGGGCTTCACCTAGTCAAACTTATAAAAAACCCCACAATTCCTAAGGATAGAAACTCAGCAATCTCTTAGAACCCATATTCCATGCACTAGATCTTCTTCCCACTGAAGCCACTTCCAGCATCTCCTGAAGTTGTTTTACATTAGATGTGCTTTCCAGGAACACCTAGACTGACTCCAGTTTCTTTTACAGCCACCAAAACACTGAACAGAGGCATAGCAGAGTTCATTGTGATGGCAGCAGATGCAGAGCCCTTGGAGATCATCCTGCACCTCCCTCTTCTCTGCGAGGACAAGAACGTGCCCTACGTGTTTGTGCGCTCCAAGCAGGCCCTGGGCCGGGCGTGCGGCGTTTCCCGGCCCGTCATCGCCTGCTCCATCACCATCAAGGAGGGATCACAGCTAAAGCCTCAGATCCAGTCTGTACAGCAAGCCATAGAGAGACTGTTGGTCTAAGTGCCCAGGAGTGTGTGTGTGTGAAATAGAAAAGTGCAAATTAGGGGAAGTTAATGTTTCGCTTCAGTTGAGATTATAGTTTTGATACCAATGTTTCATTTCAAAATGCCATATTTTTGTTTAATAATGGCTTAATTCTTAGTGTTTCCACCTTCTATTCCCCCACTTTTCTATTATTCCACTTCAACATTTTCATTCTCATTGTATTACTTCTTGAAAAGTGACTGTACAACTGTGTTTCCTGTTTTATGTTTAAAAGAAGGACAGACAAAAAAAGTCCCCCCCTTGTCTTCCTGTCTGCCTGCTCAGGGCTTTTTTAACCCACCCATCAGCTTTCTCTGTGGTGCAGTATTTCTGCTAAGCTTGAGCCTCCAGCAGGTGTGAGTTACTCTGTGCTTCTGAACGGTTTAGGCTGAGGAAAAGGCTCCCTGTGTTCAGGCTGCTGGAGTCTGTAAGTGATGGAGCAGCACAGGCAGGTATAAGGCAGGCAGCAGCTACTGTGTAGCAGCAGATGGAGCCAAGATCAACACGGCCCTTACTCTTGAAACCAGACAAGAGACTTCTGTAAGAAATGCACAGCAAGCAGAAATCTTATGGCAGTACACAAGGGGAACTCTCTTGATTATTTTTAAATACTGACTTTTTAAGTAAAAATAAAAATGCTGTAAGGCTGAATAGAACTGTGATTCCCTTGGTGAAGTATTTACAACTAACTGGAGTGTTTCTGCTTGTAAAGCTAAACTGCTCACAGGTTGCCTAAAGGCTGTTGCAGTGCAGTAATTTATTCTCCTTCAGTTTCTTTTGTATGGACTGTTACCACTGAGGTTGGGCTCCCTAGAGAAGTTAAGTACAAAATACATGGCAGAGAGCAGCCTGTTGTGGCTGATTGAGTACCCTACACCTGGCTGTTAGTTATAAAAAGTGCCATGCTTTTTAGCTACTGCACTCTAGTCACCTGACAGAAGATGAACCCTTTTAAGTCATGGCCAAGGAAACAGAGAACAAGTAGTTTTTCAGATAAATTAATATATGAATGCTGAATCATCTCATGTCCTGGAAAAGCAGCATGGAGCACCAACAGCAGTCTGGATTAGTGGTGTTTTTATAGATCTAGTTTTAGTTAAATACATATTGTATAATAAATGCACTTCTGCTCTGTTCAGAAAAGTTTAAACCCCTGTGTTGGAATATCATCCTGTTTTCTATTGCAGGATGCCAAAGCAAAATAGTGTGGAAACTTCATTAGGTGCAATAGTAGAAAGGAAAATACATTTTTCTGTAATGTTTCCACAGAGGCACTAACTTCTTACCTCTCATAAGTACTTCCCAAGCAGATGAAGTGAGCTCATGAAACACTGAAGACATTATGTTGGTATATTTTTGTAAGTGGCTGATACCAGTAATCCTTGCTGAGATGAACTTGATCCAAATACTTCAGAATCCTTTTATTTGTATGAGGTTTAGAAGGGCTCCTGTTCCCTTCTACTGATGCTGACTGTTGAGCTGTTTAGAACTACAGCTTTGCCAAGGATTTGCCCTATTTATACCAAGACAGATGATGTAAGAGAGCACACAAGGAGCAGAAATAAAGGATACTTGAGCAAGCAAAACTGTCTTTTTCTGCTCTGAAGCATCCCACCACCTTCCCTTTTAAATTTCTGCTTAATGTGATAGCCTGCTATTAAAGAGAACAAAAAAAAAAAAGCCAGGAGGCAGATCTAATAACCTAGAGCAAACATGCCACAATCATCCAAAGCCTGGCACATAGTGTGCCTGAGGGTCAGCAAGCCAAGAGAGATGTTAAGAAGGGTATTTGCAGAATTCAATCCACAGAACTACAGACAGGACAGTCTCACTGTTCCACTCTTCAAGCCTTGCTAAAACAAGCATTTACGGTAACTTCATTGCCCAAGGGCAAAATAAATTGAGTGCTTAGGCAAATCTTTATTAAAACTAACTAATCCAGGCTGATTGGAAGTGTAACAGGTAATGTAGTTTCGTAACTACAGAGCTCAGTGCAGGCTAGCTGCTCTCTGGAGGAATTGTGGAGGTAGAAGTGAGCAGTGTGCTGGCACAGCTGGGACAGTCCCAGTGCCAGAAGGGTGGTCACAGCTGGCTCCACACGTGCCACACTACAGCCTGGTGACAGGACAGTTTGTGAGGCACACACAGGAATCTCTGGACACTAAAAACACTGTGCAGACCAAAATGGACACCTTAGGTATCCAATGTTTGTGTCCTGTAAAAAGAGTTCAACTAAATTAGTAAATTCCCAAAACAAAAGCAACAACTGTATATTGGTTTTAGTCATCTTGCACTGCAAGACAGGCAGGGCATGCCAGGGATGGAAGTCTAAAACCCAAAACACCCAGCTGCAGCCTTCTTAAGTATGACAAAAAATAAAAATACTGTATGTAACAAGGGCTCTCTCTACAACTTGCTACTCTTCTATTTTAAAAGCACAATAGTCTGACTCACATTCACTTAGAGAGGTGGAAAAGCTCTATGCCATCTCAGTAATTTAATTGGGATAAATGCTTGCAGCCTTCCGGGGAACACAATTTGTCTTCCATTTTTAAACCAGCTTCTGCTATTACCATTTAAAAATGGAAGACCTGTGTGTGCAGATTTGTTAAGTGCCAGCTTTTTGCCCAAGGGATTGGATACTGCTTCCCAGTAATGATTTTTTCCTTTTAAGATCTGCTGGTAATATTTGTAACAGTGATGGCAGAAAAGAACCCAATTTGATTACTAGTACTGATACTGGCTGTTCTGGAGAGTAATACATATTTATACCCTCTGTTAGGACACAGACTCAATCTGCTGCTTGAATTCATGTGGTGTCATCAACACAGGTCATTGTGTTTTCTTACCCTGAAGTGAGTTCTGCTGTCTTTATGATGGAGAGACAGACAGCACAGTCAGTGTTGCAAAGGAAAAGGTCCAAACTTTTATTAAGAAACCAGCAAGGCACAACTCTGTCCATGTGCAATGGGTGACCCGAGTTCACAGGGAATTCAGTTCTGCCTTTAGCTACTGTCAACAGAATCCAACTTTGCAGATATGTTTCACAACTAAGTTTCTCCACTGCTAGACAGAGAAACATTTAGTTGCCATCTTTTTCATAGCAAGATTAAATACACAGAGCACCCACATAAGACAATCAAGCTTCTAAGCAGACAGAAGTAAACCAGGGTCTTCCTCTCCAGCTTAGTGCTCATTAAAGTATTCAGTTAGAGCATCCACGAGCTCCTGCTTCTTGCTTCCACACCTCAACCCCAAAAACCTACATGCATCCTTCAGGACAGACACGGTGAGCTTGCCTAGAGTGCCCTTCTGCACGTGACTCTGCAGCTCATCTTTTGAGACTTCTACCTTGGGCTTCTTCTCAGTTTGACCATCAGAAGCTAGAAAGATACATTTTAGATCACAAAGATTTTAAAAATTAGATATCAGTGTTTCTTACACATATCATTGTTAATGGCCATTAGTACATGGTGCTTTAACAGGCACACGCTCACAGACCTAGTTTCCATGTTTTAAGAAACAGGTGTCACTCTGTAAGTCATGCAGTATTTAATTGATAGGAGTGATCTTAGCTGAAGTATGAAACTGTGTGTTCTGATGAATACATCACCCTCCAAATGAAACTTAAGGGATTCTTGTTGAGCCAGCAGAATGCAATGATTCCACAAGGAGCTCAGCTAACTGATACTTACTTTATGCACTCTTTCACAGACTCCCAAATTACACAAAGACTTCAGCATTGCTTACACATTTAGCCCTTAAGATGCCTATTTTGGATTTGCTAAACAGCCCATGCATAAAAGTCTCACCAACACAAACTGAAAGCATGAGTGATTTTACTCTTCTGTTATAAAACAGAAAGTTGCTAAAGTTTTATTTATTTACATGTATATATATATATATTCTGCAGTAATTTACCCACATTACCCCTATACTTCACTCTGCAGTTTGTCACTCCAGCAATTCCTCAACTGGATACCACAATATTCTCTACTCAGTAGAATAGAATCAATACTGGATGTAATACTTCATTGTGGAGATTGCTAGAGTTGTTGCACAAGCAGCTTCCTTAAACTATGAGACAAACTGAAAACACAGAAACTTCTAAACAGAATACAGACATTATGTTTTGTGTCTGCACCACCATTACTTACCTTGTTTTCTCTTTACAGCCTTCACATCAGGATTGTAGTCAGGGGGATAAACCAGCTGCTTAAACTCGTCCACCAGGCTGCCCAGCCTGTGGCTCATCTGTTCAGACTTTGGCACTGGCAAAAGATAAAGATTTGCCCTCTCAAAAACAGTGTGATCACAAGAAAGTCTGCAAGGCCATCCCTGTTGCCAAATTAATTATCAGCTCACCTGGCAGGAAAAATACAATGCTCATGCTACAAAACCATTCCATATTGTGTATGGAACCACACAATACTTTATTTTGTAGGATTATGTTAAACATTCACCAAGAAGGGACTTAGAAAATATGAACCAGCTTAGGTATGCCAACTGTGCTCTGTATTGGCTTGAAACACCAGTTCATCAAGCTCTCAGCTGTAACTTTAGGGTCTACAACCACCAGAGAGAACCCCAGGACAGAAGAAAGTGTGCACAAAGGGGACCTAACACATGTTAATGATTTTGGGGAAATTATTACCACACGTATGTTTCTTCTGAAAAAACCTACACAAACAGTTTTTTCTGTACTAGAGATGCATGATTTTGGTGGAGATATCCCCTCATGCATCCAGCACTGTGATAAAGAACACCTGCTTCTTAAAGCTGCATAGGTCTGACTGGTTTTCAGTAACATCACCAGACACAACTGTGCTTCTGTAATAACTAGTCTACAATTGTCCTGCAAGCATGCAAAAATGCAAATACTTGTGTTATTATACAAGTATTTAAATTTCTCCCAAATGAGAAATTTACAGCTCTTGGTAATATCAAGAATTTGAACATCTGGAATGCTGCGTCCAGTTCTGAGCTCCCCATTACAGGAGAGATATGGAACTCCTGGAATGGCTCCAGCAAAGGACAACAAAGATGATTAAAGGACTGGAACAGCTTCCTTATGAGGAAAGTCTGAAGGAACTGTTCAGCCTCCAGAAGAGATGACAGAGGGGAACCTCATCTAAGTATCTGAAGGGAAGGTGTCAAGAGTGTAGTGCCAGGCTCCTGGTGGTGCCAAGCAACAGGACAAGAGGCAATGTGCAGAAACTGAAGCACAGGAAGAGCCATCTGAACATGAGGAAAAGCTTTACTGGGAAGGTGACTGAACACTGAAACAGGTCACCTACAGAGGTTGTAGAGTATGCCTGGCTGGAAAAACAATTGAAGAACTACCTGGAACTAACCCTGTGCAACGTGCTGTAGGATAACCCTGCCTGAGCAGGGGGGCTGGATCAGATGATCCACTGTGATCCCTTCCCTCCTGACCCCCTCTGTGATTTTACAGGACACTCACATACAAACTCTCCCAGTCACTAGGTGGCAACACTGCCCCCAACAGAATAATTCATTCAGTCCATTTATCACACTGAAATATTAATGAGAATCTTGAAGAGAGGAATTTCAGAGAAAACATTTCTCACCGTATGAAAAAGGTGATTCAATTTTAATTTTGGATGGTAAAGTGAGCATTTTTTTCTTTACTTTAAAAGTGACAGCAATAGAAAATAAGGTTTCAGTATTTCAGAATGGACACATCCAGAATCCTAAACAATGAAACTGCACACAACTGAAATCTTTCTTAAAAGACAGTTGGGTTTGTAGCAGCACATATTTGACTTGTAACAAAGTCACGAGCCCCCTACCCTGCCTCCCTTCACACCCGCCGATAGCTCTCACTTGTAAGATCCTCAGCCTGCTCTGGTTCCATCATATCCAGCGCCAAAGCCTCCAAATTCCTGAAGTGCTGCTGCAAAACTGGGTTCTCAAAGCTGTCAGCCCTGTCAAGAATCCCCCAGAATGTCAATGCATGCTGCCAAGAAGACAGACAAAACACTTAAGATCTACCACCAACTTACGTCAGAATAAAACTTCCCTCTTTCCCACACAACAATCCATTGCATCAGAACTGCTTTTCCTCTTTGCAATTTACCTGCTGAATCACTCTCCTGTCATGTATCAGCCACATAAGAATGCTGTGTCAGAGCTAGAAAGTTGTATGAAGCAAAAGGAGATCGTGGCATTATACTTTAATAATAGTTATGGTGGCTTCCAGGTATCTAGGAAAAAATCTCCCATCAAAGTACTTCATAGCTATAATGAAAAAAAGGCCTAACTCTTCTTTCTAAAGTGCTCTAATTTAAATGATCTGGGTCTGATCTGCTGTAGAGTGGCAGAACCACAATAAAATGTGATACCTCTGCAACAAATGACAACAGCCCAGAGAACAAGAGCAATTCTACAAAGAACTCTAGAACATGCTACATAAAGCATTGTGATGCCTGGGTATCCAGAATGATTAAGAATAAAGTTTGGACAAAGCTACTGCAAAGAGAAGCAATTTCTATCAAAATACATCAAAATCTGATCTCAGGAACACCACAGCTGAACAACATGTGCAACAGAGCAAGCAATGGTTGTGCTTTCTTCCCCATGCCACCCCCTGTACTCTATTTATCTCCAGGTACCTGTATTTGAACCGCAGCTTCTGAATTATTTCCTTCATTTTGTCT